ACACCACCTTAAGATCGTCTGCAAACAAAAGGGACTTACCCACACTAAAACACTCACAAATATCATTAATGAAAACTAAAAAGAGCAAAGGACCTAAGACACTGCCCTGAATTACCCCACTTCTAACAGGGACTGCGTTCGACAATGAAGAGTTGATTTTAACTATTTGATGTCGATTGCTGAGGAAGGAATCAAACCAGGCTAGTAACGGGTTTTCGACCCCATAAGATGCGAGTTTACCTATGAGAAGTTGGTGGTTGACCATGTCGAAGGCCTTAGAAATGTCCAGGTATAGCACTAATACTAGATATCCTTGGCTACGAAGCGAATAGACTAAATTAAAGAAGTCAAAATGACATGTCATACAAGATCGATTTTTAGGAAGTCCATGTTGCGAATCACCAATAAATTGTTCAGTCAATAAATAGTTGGATAGTTCGTCACTAATAATTTTTTCCATAATCCTAGAGATAACTGGAGTAATATTTATTGGCCGATAGTTGTTCGTGTCAGTCTAATCTCCGGATTTGTAACGTGGTATGATGTACGCGGTTTTCCAACGGTCAGGATAAGAGCCTGATTCCATAGAGAGGGTAAACAGTTTAAGGAGAAGAAGTTGGATATCTGGACCACCATATTTGTAGAGAAATGATGAAATCCCGTCTGCACCGTGACCTTTCGAAAGCTTGAGGTTATTTATAACCTTACTAATTTTCAGACATGTGAAGGAGATAGATTTAATGGAGTTACCAGTCAAGCATATAACTCTAGAAACAGAGCCATTTATGGATTCTTTGTCATTTGCAAAATTACCACTGAAAAGGTCTGCTATAGTTTTTGGGTCATATATAAAACTATTATAATACAGGATGCATGGTATATCAACATTTTGAGTTGATTTAGCACGTTTATTATAAAGGTGGATTAGGTTTTGCACTTTTGAGCTAGTACGTAGTGCTAATAGCTCTTCATTGATGGCGTTTAACCTATGTTTCTCTTCAATTTGGTTAAAAATTAGTGTTATTTGTGTGACTGTATACTTTTATATATGCTACTGTGAATAATATCACTTGTATATAAGGAAAAGTAGATGATTACTTCAATATTGATGTATTCATATTAATAATAATGGTAATATTATATTTCTGCAATAGCAGGTATACGCCATTTTTACAGGCATGATCTATAATTTACAACATATACCGGTTCACGGTATGCATCCCAAGCAAGGTTGTTTGGTAATTATAATCTATAAATGTTGATAACAGTTCAATCGTTCAGATATATTGTGTTTTCATAAGAATAGATTCCAAAGGGGCATGGCGTCTACGTTACATACCAGATCCAATCTGGACAGAAAGTTATTAGGGTTTCGGTCGTGCTAAGTTTTTATGTAATGCAGCATTTTAAGTTTATATTTGTTATAAATTAATCTTGTGGAGCGCCTGAGAAGTCTAGGTTTGGATGACGAAGAACAGAGACTGCATATAGAGAGTAGAGTGTTGAGTAACAACCATATCCTTTACAGTCTGTTTTTTTCATCATACGATGCCTGCCACACAGTTTTCATGTAAAAGTCCGAGTTAGCATGTTGAAGGTTGTCTTAGTAGAATAGTTAATCCAGCACAAAATTAGAAACATGAGTCTGAATGGTGAGTGTAGGAGAGCAACTTCAATATCACAAATTGATTGATTTGTTCTCATTCATAAAGAGCCTGATACAAACAAAATGTTCTGTCCCACAAACACAGGTGGATTGAAATCATCACCCTCACCATCAGTGCTTGCTGGTCGGTAAATACACCTTCCCTCCTTTTGTGATGTTAGGCTCATTTGCGCTTTCTTTTTGGATACATATCATACCTCACACAATGCTCTGTGTTTCACATCTTGTTGGAAAACACTATTTCTATAAGTACCAAGGTCAAAAAAAGTTCATGTGGCGGTGAGAGTTTTACTTCATCAATGATGGGTTCCTTTATCGATCATAATTTACAGGTAATGTGCAGAATATTGTGTAATATACATCATATCTTTTTATATATAATTCATAGCTTATAGTCAACAAGAAATAACTTCCAAAAATAATTCTTTTTACAATTGTAATTCACAAGTATCCCATGGTTGAAATGAATGAATAAAATTGTTCGACACTGCTATCGGTCTTCACTCTCTCACTAACATTAGTATTTATTAGATTAATAACTCTGGTTGAAGACAAAACACGTAATTCATTGGTGATATTTTTAGGTTATAGTGAGGTATTTCATCATTTGTTTAAGCATAGAATACCAACAAGTAAGCCGTTTCCGTAGATACATACTAGATTATCATTGAAAATATGGAAGCTCTGAACTAATGATCTCAACTATTAACATTTGTCTACGCAAAATACTTCGGATCCGTTGACCAAACACTATCAGCAACAACCTACAATGACAGAAAACAAACCTGATTTCAACGGAGTAAGAAATCAAGAAGAAGCGCTGGAAGTGGATAGGACACACTTTGAGGAAAGTACCCAACTGCATTGCAGGAAATGCCCTAACATGGAATCCTGAAGGTCAAAGGGGGAGACCAAAGAACACATTATGCCGAGAAATGGAGATAGATATAAGAAGAATGAACAACAACTGAATAGAACTAGAAAAGTAGGCCCACGACAGAGTGGGTTAGAGAATGCTAGTCGGCGGCCTATGCTCCATTTTGAGTGACAGGCATAAGTAGTTATGTAGATGATACATTTGTTGTCATGAGAAAAAAGACTCATCTAAGATCGTTTTCAAAACGGATAAATACACTTTCATCTCACATCAAATTCACGAATAAGGATGAAAATTAATATGATCAACTACCATTTTTAGATTGTTTAGTGTAGAGAAATGTAAATGGAGTTCTAAATCTATCCATCTATCGAAAGCCAACACACTCCAATCGTTACATTGACTTCCATTCAGCACAACCTTTCAGTGCTAAGATCTCTCTAGCCTTAAATCTTTTGAGAAGAGCCAACAAGATCATCACTTCAGAAGAGGACAAACAAGAAGAATAAAAGAATATAATCGCCAACATACAATTTAATAATTTTCTTATGAAGATTATTAGAAGTATATCGAAGCAAGACAGTTCAGTACGTAATAATAATAATTCGAATGAAATGCCATGAATCGGTACTGCAGTTTTACCATACAGTCATGGCACAACTGAAGAACTTCAAAGACTCTTAAAACAGTTCAGAATTAAAGTATATTACAAAACAACGAACACTCTTTGAAATACTTTAGTTCGATTAAAAGAAAAAAATCCCATTCATGTCGACACAGAACTGAGTCTACAAATTAGGTTGTGTTGATTGTGATACCTTTTATATTGGAGAGTCATCTCTCCAAATCTTCACTCATACCAAAGGACTCATTGCATACACAAAGAAACCTCCTGATAATCCTTTAGAACTGGATAGACTTCAAATTAAATCTGCAATAGCAGTTCACACCATTTTCAACAATCATCAAATTGATTTCAAAAATATCAAAATATTGCAAAAAGGCTATTTCAATTATAAAGAAAGGATAGTAGCTGAAGCATTCCACATAATGCTTAATCATACTGCTTTCAATAGAAAAGAAGGCCCTACCATACATCTGACTTGAACTATCTATCTATCCTAGTCAACTAGTCTGGTAATATTCACAATTCACATCATTACCTTACAAATTAAACTCTATTATTTATCACTATAAAGGTCACTCATTCTTCATCATTTACAGTGCACACATACACACATACAAACTTACATACATGTCGCTTATGAATCCCCTTGACTGAAATGACATGATATTGATTTGTCCTGTTCTGCCAACGTCTTCATTCCATAATCGCAAGCTTCGCGATCAGTCGCACGGACGAAACCGCTACGTGTCGCAAGTGTAAACCCTTTCTAGCGGGAGGCTCCTGTAGTGACCTGCTTTTCTCGACGAGAACGCAATTGGTGTAATGAAAATAATTATTATTATAACCAATTATACCAGTGATTGTTTTACTGTACTTGTTGTTGTTTAGCTGTATCATAATCACTTTTCGTTCGGTCGCCCTCCTTGTTCGCTCGAATTTTATTACTCTGTGCTCTTATTGCCTCTTATTTTTTATCTTATAAACAAAATACTCATTTGAATTTTCTTAATCAATCTTCATTTAATTGTAATCGAATTAAGTAAGAACTTTACTTGGTAGTAAATTTTATGGTGATTGAAATTCAGTTGAAAAATTAACTAGTTGTCATGTAATCTTCACAGTTGAAATCATGAGTCAATTTAAGCTAGACCGCAATGAAAAACCTGGAAGCACTGGATGGTCGTTTCGTCCTATTGTAGGACTTCTCAGCGGCAGTGCGCATCCACGATCCCGCCTAGCAACATCCGAACCCAGAACCTACCAGTCCCGCACCCGAGTGCTGAACCACTAGACTGGTAGATGCTGGGCTAGAATCTCGTGAGACGGGATCGTAGATGTGCACTGCTGAGGAGTCCCACAATAGGACGAAACGGCTGTCCAGTGCTTCCAGGTTTTCCATGGTGTTCTAGCTTCAATTGATTCATGATTTCAATTATAAAATTACTAAAATCTCTACAAAAGCCCTTCTGTCATGTAATCTGTTGAATTTTTCAGCAAGAATTTGCAAAAATCTATGTCCTGGAGTTCTAGTGGGAAGCAGTGACCGGTGTAGTTCAACCACGTCTGTTGTGAGATAACAACTCACTGAAGGCAATTGGTGAAGTGTCGCTCATAATTCGTGGATCAGTTGAAGTTAGACATTAACACCGTTGGATGCCGGCTCAGTGGTCTATCAGTTAAGGGCTCTGGCTCGTAACTGGTAGGTCCTGGGTTCGAATCTCGCTCGCGAGAGCGGGTTCGTGGATGCGCACTTCTGAGGAGTCCCATAGTAGGACGAAACGGCCGTCCAGTGCTTCCAGCTTTCCGATGGTGGTCTAGCCTCAATTGACTCATGATTTCAACTTTGAAATATAATAATTTATTCATCATTGGAGAATTTTTTTTAAAAAGTTGTCGGGATAGCAAGTCAGTGGATTAGTGGGATGACGTTTTCATACAATTAACTTTACATTATAAATTAAGCGTAAAATTGATCGAACGACAGTTTTTTCAAATGTTTTAGTTTTCATATGACTACTTACTTTTCAATTTAAGTAGTAAAAAATGTCAAATTGAAATGAACTATTTTCATTATCCTCTCCTACTTTCATCCTTCGAAAACACACAGGAACAAGCAGGAATATGTATCAAGTATCCTGGTGAATCAGAAACTCATTCAGCATATACAAAACCAAATCATTGTGTATCAGAAGTTTTAACAAATCATGGTCAACTACGTGTTTGTAAACCAGGTTATCAAATTAATCCACATTCAGAAATTAAACTAGAAGGATATGGTCCTATCAAACAATATGAATTGAATAAAATCGAACAATCAGAGTATATACAAACATATACTTGGCCAGATGGTAAAAAAATACACACAAATCCATGGAATAGATCACGAGAAGCTAATCATTTATATGGTATTAAATAATTTTGATAATTGAATTGCTTTCATGAAAAGAAGCATTGTAACGTTTCTGATATATTTCAGATTAGTTGATTTACCTTATAAAATCATCAAGTAAATAAATTTGTTAAAAGCTAGGAAGCCTTTTTTAAAATAAAACTAAGGCCTCCAAAATGCCTTGGTACGGCCGAGAGTGGGGAGAGTCCGCTCTCCCTCTCGAAATGCTCTCACATCGCCACGCGAATATATAGCTTCTACCTGGGAAGTCCTACTCACTGCCTTCTCGTGACGGGGGTGTTGTTTACGAAATTGAGAGGACGAAAAGCGAATGTCCGGCGCTTTAACCGGGTTGGTGGACACGTTCAACATATGTTGAACACGATTCACTTTGAAGAATTGACTTATTTTGGAGACTTACGAGATGTATTTCACTGTGATATCGTTAAGTGCTTTTCGTTTCTTCTTACTACCCACAGGTTCGAGGTAGCGTTTCAAGTAATCAGCTTTACTGTCCTTCGAAGGGTCGTTTGTAGTCATTTGAAGTTTTGGAAACCATTGGCCTTGACGTCCAATTTGCGGTACGTAGGTATACAATAAACAATATATTTGCGATGAGCTTGTGCAAATCAGATGGTTTGTTTATATTTGTTTCATGGTGTCACAGTAAATTTCCCCCGTACTCTGTAGTAAAAAGTATTAGGCTGATCAGTTTATGCTGGTTCGTTTCCTCTGTTTAATTGAAGAAATCCGGTCTTTTTCTGTTCACTGAGCTTAGGAACCAAAGCTGAGACTCGTATATATCAGGCCATAGTTCCTAGAGAATGTTTGTGATAACTTCGGAAATGACTAGTACTTGTTGAGTCAAGTAAACAAAGCATTCCAGCACTCAAGTTGATTGGCAAGACACCAAACGCTAATGTACAACTAGCTGTAACTTCACAATAATGTGTGAAAAGGAGATTCCATCGTCTTAACTATTCTTCACCTGTGATATTGTGAAGTCGTAATACAAATTTAGTCACTATTTTTTGATCATTTTAAAAAAGCGGAGTATTCTCTATAACTGTACGTATCGCGGATGTGATATCAAGTATGTCGGATAATAAATTCAAAGCGGTTCTTTGTCAAAACATCTGAAAACCTCGAGGCACATTCTAAATTTAGGAAAACCTCGTTGTTCAGTCTTTACCAAGCCATTCTTAAAGAAAACTCCTAAACCATCTTGTCTCAAAACTTTTGGAAGATATGCCCCATTGATAAATCAGTTTTCACTTAAGGAAATACGATAACTCTCATTACAGATGATAATTAATCCATTCAACTAGTTTAGTGACGTTTCCGGGGACCATCAGAGTGACGCGGCACTAAAGATTCAATCACAATAAAAGCTTTTCTTGTATGAAGAGTTAAACAAGCACCTGCGCTCTTGCCGAAAAGGATAGTGGAATTTTTCTCTGCCTGAGTCTTCTCAGTTAACTGTTTATTTGTTTACAGTCAGCCAGAACCAGCCAAAACAACTGTAGTCATTACTATTGGTTTTGGTTATATTTTATTAGCGATCGACGGTCAATGAAGTTCATCCTAGTAACCTAACACCTTTCTGTGCCATCTGATTCCACAGATATATGACAGTCGCTAAAAATATCTGTCTGGTGCAGTATAGAGACATCTATAGCAATTTTAGAGCGGTGTGAAGCAGTCTGTCAAATAAACGTGTTGGGGTCATCACAAAACGCTACTGTCAGCCATTTCAGAAGCATCTGGTTAAAAATCCAACTTGAGATATTGAGAACTGGCAGAGAGAAATCTACTTGACTTATCAACACAGACTTCATTCGCCATCTAGGTTAACACTTAAGCCTAGACATTTTGAGTTCGGACCAGTGAACATAGACAAACAGGTGGGAGAGACAAGGAGGCAGACTATCACCTGTATCGGCATTGGTTCTTGAAGACACGATCCTGGAACCGGAATATACAATAACTGAGAAGACTCACTTGTGAAATTTTATAAAACTTGGACGCCAGGAATTTTCTTCAGGATGGACATTGTTTGTGGTATCTTGGCGTTTATATGAAATATGTTATTCTATAAAAAGCCTAAAAGTGCTCTTTAGAGGTTATTACAGGCAATTCTACTGGTTGTCTGAACGGGACAACTCACAGTAGACAAAGATGTGACTTCAAAGTAAGATTTCATCATGGTAAGTCCATAAAATTGGATAAGGTCAATCGTTTCGGTAGCACAGATGAATAAACGGACATTGATCTAGATCAAAAATCTTACAGGCCATCAACCCAACGGCATCTGGGTTCGGTATGCTACAGGGCCTAGTCTGAGGCTGAATAATCTCTACCAAGGCTTCTAGCTCTTAACAATCTCGTCCAAAAAACATCACCATAACAACACGTCCAACAGTGGATGGTGTTAACGAAGCAAGCCGTAGATAAAAGTTCCTCAGTGTCAGAATCAAATCAGACATTCTGCTAGGAATTCACATATCACTTTTCAATGAAATCGATCACACACAAGTCACTCATAATCACCATTAATTGTTCCTGGATTCCAAAAAAGGTCAGTGGACACTGTTGTCATCATAACGAAGACCAATAGATATAAATATCTGATAGATTCAACCTAAATGGCAACCGAAATATGTAAGGACAAACCCAAACACTGTGAAATCTGGAAGAGTTAGCCAATCGGTGATGAAACACTATATAACTCACCCAGACATGTAATACCGAAGAACCACTCATCAGCCATACAGTCGAAATTCTTGAACTGAAAGAGCTTATTTGTAATAAGTGACATACTAGAAAGTATCCCTATCAAACTTGGCTTATAAGAAACACTATCCTTGTGGCTACGAGTCATTTCGAAATGACAGGTCTGACACTAAATGATGTTGCAATATTCAGGGCGCACGAAATTTCTTCTTTCAGAATCAGTCACTAAGGCGTGACGCAATTTATTCAAAGGGAATAACATGTTCCTGTAAATGTGCTCTACAGACCATGCGGAGCCTCGGATAAACATACTTTTGAAAGCCCACTGAGTTTTGAATTCCTTAAAGATGACTGGTTAAACTTCATAATCTACAGTTGTGACATTTCATGCCTAAACTACTTGAAATACAGTGCAATTACCTGTCCCCATCAGCCAAACCAGAACTAGTGAACCAACAGTGACACAAGAATCTTTCTAATCAACAATTAAAACAAGTTAATTCATTAATACAACAGTCTTGACATGATGTATATTCAAACTGCCTAGACAACAATAATAATTACAAATGTCTCGAAACAGTAGGTGAAACGGCATCGTAATAAAGGCGATCATCAAACGACCTCCTCGGATTCGTTTCTTGTGGTCTTTTAGTGAAAAATACTTCTAGAATAATTAAACTATCCTTAACCACACAATCTGTTCGATATGTGCGTTCATGGAACGATGATACCTTCAACTCATAACAACCTTTCTGAAGAATATCCTTCTGATCTGCATTTCCGTCTTGAAGATAATGGAATGTAATTTAACAACACCAACACTGCCCTCATATATTTTCACGTTAGGTACGCGATCTACTTAGTCGATTCTACTTTGCACATCACGTGCTTCAGTTATCAGTGAGTGTTTTATTCAGAACTTCCAGTTTCTTTGGCTTTTTTCTGTGGACATTATCGTCTGGGATGTCCACTGTTGAGACAGACAAGACAGTTTCATACATTCTACGGAATTTAATCTCTACGTTTTACTAAGGCTTTTGATATTGCTGCACAGGTTCAAGTGGTGATCTCTTGTAATTAGCAAACATTCACTTCATCGGTTCATACAGTTATCGTTTCCAGTTGTGTAAAACCGTTTTCGTGGTGAGGGCTGATATTTTATTGAAGTGGACTGGTGTAATATCTACACAAAACGACTCAAGGACTAGTTCTAGCAATTCCGCAATATCCGATAATCTCAGTTTCGTGGTCTTTAGTTCATGAAAACATAAGTCGGCCCGCTGTCTTTGCAGTCATGAAGGTATTTGATCAGACACTACCTTCAACACTGACACATTTTCATAGACGACAAGGTATTCACAGAAGCTAGCAAATTATTCAGTTGTTCGACTTGGTAAAAGTCAACATGTTATGCAGAACAAATACAAGAATGGCTAGCGGATATTCACAAAGCTGGCAATCTGATCATTTAGCAGTCCATGAACATACTGAAATTGATACAAATAATCATAGATAAACGTCATGTGGACAGGTGAAATTAAAAGTGGAGACAATCTAAAGTTATGGTCAACGAGAAACATTGATTGTTGAATTCCAAAGACACTATATGCTACTAAGAAGAGGAGCAACTTTCTTTATTTACTTATCGATGGAATTAAGGTAGTTGATGTTGTATAGAGAGTCGATGAATAGCATTCAGCTCAAATATTTTCAGACTAACAAAATCATTCACTGAATAATAAATTATTTCTCCAAGTCACAACACGTGTGTATTCGAGAAATACGATATTTGAACAAATCATTCTAGTCAATTCGGTTTGTTTTAGCTCCAAGTACGATCGAAATGTGTTTCAATGTCTGTTAGCATTCTAAAGGAATATTATCAATACAGAAATTTATTCGAACAGGCGAATATCCATTTATTATCAATAAAAAAGCAGTTTACAATAATGTTGAGAATACCCCAGATGTATATCTCTGAATAGTTGTAAACTAATTGAAGCACTGGAAAGAAATGTATCCATTAATCGTGCCCAATCATTGTCATATTGAGATTACCACTGATCGAATGACAATCGATGAATGTATTTAAAGTAAATAGTAAACTGATGACAAGTATTATATGTTCATAAATCAGCAGGAAGAAACTGTAGAATGTAGAAAACTGTTCTTGTTCACGGCATGCTTTCAGATATGCAATTGTGGATATAATCACCTGTAATAAGGAAAACGTAGATGTTTACTTCATTATCGATGTATTTATATGAACACATGTATCAGTGAAATAATAAGCA